TGAAGTGTGTGAATCATTTCTCGATAGTAAAATGTTTAACAAAGGTTTTCTTATTGGAAACATAACAGAAGCTGACAAATTATACAGCCTCTTTTCCTCAATAAAAAAAATCAGTTCAGCCATCAAGAGGCTTTACTTAATGCCAAAATTGCCAGAGCTAGAATTCACATAGAAAGAATCTATCAAAGAATAAAAGTGTTTGTCTCTCTGTATTGGTACTTATGTCCGTTTTTCTTCTATTTATATTGAGTTTTTATTATACGATACTTCTCTGTAACTAACTAACTTTTACAATGTACTTGTAAAGCCCAGATAGCTTTAACTCTGGCCTTTGAATTTAATAATATTTATGTAATTGTATTTACAATAAATACTTTATTATTAATATTATTATTATTATAATTCATAAAATTATTATAAACGTATTTACCTTGTACCTACTTGTATTGATAATTGGGTGAAAAATGAAATGTTACTTTTTATATTTCTGTAGCTGGTCTTACAACCCTTTATAGAGCAATTCACCATTTAAATTTAAAAACAAAACAAGTTTTTACACTCAAATGATTAAAAAACTTAAAACAGAACATAAGTATAATTAAAACTAAATAAAATAAACAATTCAACAAAATGTCCGACTGAGTAATGACTGAGAACAAAATCTCAACTAAACAACTCAAACAAATAATGATTGAGAGTGAAAGCAGGTAGAAATACGACCAAATCGGAGGCGTGCTTATTATTTTTGAGAGGGTACAATTATTTAAAATATTCATACAATTTCTTTTATTTATTTCATGAAAACTTTGCAATATCGTAATTTACCTAATCGTTGTAGTCATTAGTGGGGCTTTATGAAAACGGAGTAATAATTGTGGTAATTATAGTAGGAACCAAATAAATTAAGAATATTAATAAAAATCACAATATATATTTCAAATTAAAAATAAGAAAGATACCTAATCAGGGGTTGGCTTGGTGACAGAAACAATATTATCAATTTTACTATTTTAATAATGAATTTAACTTTATTTCACAAATTAACGTATATTTATATATTATGTCGCGGCCGAAGTCAGTAAGGAACTGTCTTTTAAGTTTCTTCTTGGGTTACACATACAGAAGTATTACTTAAATTTTAAATTAAAATCATAATGACGGATATTGCATATCCAATGCAATTGATATTTTTATTTTGTTTTGTTTAGTTATTTTTAAATTTTTATATTTTTTAATCTTTTTATATTATATTTAGTTTTTAATTTACTTCGCTTTGTCTATAAAATTTTTGTAATTTTTCAATGACAATAAAGCATACCTCTATATATATCTCTCTCTCTCCCGGTTTACCTGCAGTTCCTCGAAACTAGCTAGCCTTAACAAGAAACCCTAATTGAGTTCGGCCAACATTAAAAGACATTATAAAGCTTAAATTACTATTTGATTGGTACTTAAATCATAAAAGTTTACACGCACCTATCATTTCAGAAATCCCTAAGTAAGATAATTAGTTTGGATATAACCTACAGGATTATGTTTTCTTGACCGCCAAACATAATAATAATAATAATGTTTATTTCAAATTTATGTAACAATGTACAAATTGATACAATAATAATAATTAAATAAATAAACATTTGTATCCTGCTGAGACATTGTTCATGTCTGTGTACAGGAATTAAAAATACAAATTTATATAATAATTTCTAAATGGTAATAGTGAATGGTAAAAATAAAAATTATACCTAAATATATAGACTTCTTTTTGTGTACAAATTTTCTTCTAATCTTCAACCTCAGATTCGTCACTGCTGCTACCGCTATCATCAAAGTTAATTATGATTGGTTCAATATTGTGTTCAATACGGTTGTATACGTCCCATATTTTTTGCTCTTCTTTTAAAACATGCTGAATGCATTTCTTCCAGTCTTCTGCAGAAACATTTTGAATGGCTTCTTGTAGGTAACGTTGCACGTCCACTAATTTAAATGTTCTGTTTTCTCGTGCCACATATCCTTTTACTTGCGCCCAGATTAATTCTATTGGGTTTATTTCGCAGTGGTACGGTGGTAACCTTAATACTGTAATTCCACGACTTAACGCCATTTCATCCACTGCGAATTTTTTATATTTGTCTCTGTGTAATTTTGTTAACTGAAGTAGTTCTGCCTTTAAACTATCTTTTTTATATTGGATGTTTTTATTAATTAACCATTCTTGAATTGCTCGTTTTTTCCATGATTGTTTCGGTAATGATTCTAAATACCGACTATGATATGGGGCATTGTCCATGACGACGACAGACCCAGGTTCCACAAGTTGAATGATGCCTTCAAACTATTTTTCAAACACCTCCGCATTCATCTCTTCATGATAGTCGCCTGTTTTCTTGGATTTAAATATTAATTCACCATTTGGTAAAAATCCACTGTCGCTTCCTATATGCGTAACTATCAGACGACTACCTTTTCCAGACGGCTGTTTTAACCCAGTTGACAAGCCTTCAATAAAGGCTTGTCGTGCACTTGTTATATGACCATCCTGCCATACTTTTTTGACCGTATGTCCTTGGTTAACCCACGTCTCATCCATGCAGTAAATTTTTTTTTTGATATTCCGAAATTCCTCAATTTTTCGGAGATAATTTCTTCTCCATACTATTATTTCCTAACGTTCAATGAGAATGCTTTTCCTGTCGACTTTTCCGTACGTAAATTTCATTTCGTGTAAAATTTTCCTCAAAGTTTCTTTACTCATTTGTGGGACCAATTCATGATCGCTAACTGCCTCCAGAACTTTTTGCAAAGTGGGCAGCTCATTTCTGAAAAAGAAACTGTGAATAGTTGTGCGTATACTGTTTTTGGCTTCTTCATCAACTGTGATTTTTTTTTCTTCCGCTACTAGTTTTTGGCGTTTGTACTTCCCCATGAATTTTGTTTTCTCTTAGTATTTTGTAAACTGATGATTTTGGTACACCCGTATAATCAGAGCACATACCAACTAATGTATCTTTTGTAATTGTGGAAGTTAATGATGTTGGAACGCCCGGTTGGTTATTCGGAGGTACATCCGTAGAATTACAGCACATATGCACTAAGTTATCTTTTGGTCGCTGATGATCTCTTTCAAGACAGTGAAATACTCGAAGTACAATTTGTTTTTCACTTAGCGACCGAGACTTCGTCCGTTTTACCTTTTTCGACGTTGAAGGCCCTTCAATGTCTTCCATTTTTTGCATAGTTTTAGAACGGTGTAGAAATATTATTATTTAATGTTTAAACACTTATTAGCACTAATATTTTCACCAATTGTTCTTACAACACGTCGATTACTTACTAACTTAACTGTAAAACTTACAATTCACACCGTATAATTGAAAACCCGATGTTACGCTCGTGGTTAGAAATACACTACTGAGAACGTCATCGACGAGATGGATTTTACGCGTAACAGACAAAGACACAAATATCGCTCCGTACACCGATGCCATTAGCTGTAACAAATACTGAACAATCCATAAAATAATTAATTTTAAATGATCAAGAAATGTATAAGTATTACTCATTACTGATTTTTGTTATAATTAATATCTTTATTAGTACTATGATTGTATATTATCTATAATTTGCCACAACTTACAACTCTACTACTTACTCTATTTTGATTCTGCTAAAAACTAGTAAGGTAAAATTGAGATATGACAACACGGTTCACTCTCAATCATTATTTGTTTGAGTATAGACTAAACTTTCTTTGAAACCGGTCTTGTGAAAGGTTTGTTTACCAGTGAGCACTCAAAATTGAGACAAAACACAAACATTGCATGCACTAGACAAAGAGAAAACATCTCCCAGTTCGACCCGCTTTTCATAGTTTTATTTACGTATGGATAAGCAGTCTATTTAAACTATATGTCATTGAAATCAACACAAACCCTTAGATATCCCAATGCGCTGGTTCAGTGATGATGTATTTATGGTTCCACTGACAATTAAAGTGGCAGTAGATTTTTTGAGTGCGTTTTGTTCATTTTGTTTACCTAAATTATATCGTTTCTTCACTTTTATAAATATATTCCTAAAGTAAGTAGATAACATGCATCAAATATTCAATCGTTTAGTTACCAATTACATACCTTTAAACTATTTTTTATGACCTGTAAACAATATTTAGAAATAAACTAAAAACAGTAAAAACGTATACGTCAAATTTATTGATGTTTATGTTAAAAGTTTGGTTAGAATTAAATGTCAGTGAAACCAAAATGACATCACACTGAACTAGCGCATTTAAGTATAAGTGGACTTCAGCCATTTTCAAAATGTCAAATATGTCAACAGCTACAATGTTTATATTTATATCCCGATAAAGAAATAAAAATAATCTGTATATTTTTATGAATTTTGGTTATGTGAAATCAATCAAATCTGTTATGCGCATCTATATTACGGTATTAGATTTGAAATATCAGAGGAACTTACCTGAAATGAGGTTCTACCATAGATTCACCCTTTATGAATTCTAAGTTGACATTTTTTTAACAGTGTAGAAGTCGTTAAAATAAATATCTTTTTCTAGTAACGTTTTTCAAAAAAAGGGGCTAAATAAAAAAATTAAATCCTTACCTGGACTGGTGTATCAAAAATTCAAGTATGTTGATGTTTTTATCTGGTTTGATTTTTTTATGTTTTTCTGGAAATTGTTTTTTAGTTCCTTTCTTCACATCTAGAGGACGTAATGCTAATTATTACTGATAAAAACTCGTTTAAAAAAAAGTAAAATAGTTATGATAAAAATATAGAAATTATATTCGTTACGAAATTTTTCTCAACTTTGATTACCCATTCGTTTATCATTGTTCATACCTACAAATAATTTCTCTTAACCTCTTGTACGTTGATAATTTGAAAAAAGTGTAAAAAGTTCTTGAAAACATCAAAAATAGTTTACATGAAAAACAGTTTGCTTAAAAAATAATAATTATTTTCTTATTTTTGGACTAAACTTATTGAACAAACCTCGTATTATTGTGTATACTACATTTCTTACAAAAAACGTATTTACAATTATTCTTATATAAAATTCGATAAACATCTATCCACAACATTACAATTTATTGCTAATAATTTAATTTTCACCTAAGCATAAGTATACTGGTTAATACAATGCACATACTATTAAAATCATTATGGTACAATTTGTAGGATCTATTTAAAGAATACTTGCAATCTTCTAGGTTACTTTTCGATACATCTTCTTCGCACCTTCCGATGGTATCTACATCTAAACTACTCATAGGTAAACCATTAACTTCTAAAGGTGATATGCAAAAATTTTTAGATATAAATTCCGGTATGCTACCATTAGTTAAAGGTCCCTCTAAAAGCGAGTGAATATGACAATTGCACGGAAAGTGATTCCCTATCACAGTGAGTTTATCAACTTCTATCAGTAAAGCATCCGCTTTAGGTATTTCTAAAATATGATTACCCTGGAATTTCAAATGCGTAATTTTCTGTTCTTCGGTTATATTGAAATATTCTATAGCATCTATTTTATTATTAAGTATATTAAAATTCTTTATCAAAGACATGCCGTTAAAGGCCGAGCCTTCCAATATACCCAAGTCTGATTCTTGTATTGAAAGGACTCCGATGTTAGTTAAACCTTTGAACATGTCTGCCGAAAGGCCTGGAAGATCCATGAAAGCTAATTTGATATATCCTACGGTGTCTAATCCATCGAAAGAATCCGGTTCTATTGACCGGATGCCTGAAACAATAGAGAAAGAGTTACGTGCGTGATTTTAGCTATAATCTAGAGAAAAAGGAGTGCAGTAATTGTTCAAGATTAGTAGTAAATTTTATGTGTTGCACTAGGTGTAAGTTTTCTGCACTAAACACATTTGATTTATTCAGTGTATCTTCACATATTTGACACATACTTGAGTGTAGCATATACTTTTGACAAGTATGACAGTACAAATACAGTGTCTAGTGTGACACTAGTGCACGGCGTACTATAAAGGTGTTTCAACTCCCTGAAAAAAACATACCAAAACCGATCGTACTTCCTAGCCAAAATCCGCTAGGTTCGCTAGTGTCGTTACGGCGGAAAATTGCGGCAATCTTTTTATCTGTCAAAAAAGTGCAATCATAAAAATAGTTCTTCTATGGTGAAAATTCGAGTTTATATGAAATGAAAAATGTCAAAACTATCAGAAGGAGTACAGATGAAAAAATTAATGGTCAACAAATAAGTTTATTGTTATTGATGGTTGCTTATAAGTGTTTTTTTTTTAAACAAGCTGCACTGATGTGTGAGTTTATACGATCAAAAAAAGTGTTCAAGATTTAATAAATATGCTCCAATTAAGTTACAAGTTGCTGCCAGAGACTTACTACTAAATAAGTGAAATGGGGGTGTTTATAAAAAACAGCTGATTTTGTTTTGTGTTCAAATATTACCTTTGGCTTTGGCAAAAACAGCAATAAAGTGGGTTACTGATTATAAAATGAAGAAGTGGACCTTAACTATGGTACTCAGATTGAAGCTTATTATTTTTAAAGTGAATTTTGTGATTTTCATTGCACAGATTAAAGATATTCAATAAACATTTAGTTTTATACCTACTATAATCAAATCCATACATAGTGATTGGAATTACAAACATTTCTGTGAAATAGCATTATACCAGAATAATGAAGTCTCACTGGACTGGAGTATATATGTTTCCAAAGATCAGTAAGTACCTATATCAATTATTATTATTTTTATTAATAAGTATCATTAATAAATACATCTCAAAGAATAACAAGGTTGTAACTGTACTTTTTGGAAAAAATGAGATTGGTAGAATATATTATTTAATTTGTTTTTGTGACCAATATGTTCATCTGTTAATTATCAATGTTGTGTTATCGAAGCACTAAAGTTTTTCACATGGTTCTATCTGCATGTACATAGAACTTATACAGTTTTTAGCAAGTGTCATTATAGTAGTCAGATTTTCGTTATTCCCTAATCCCTAGCAAATGTAGTCTCCATCCTCCACAATTATATTAAGATTAAAGGCCAGGTTTTTACCTCTGAATAAAGGTGAAAGTAACTACTTGCTGATTAGGCTATAGATTGTACTTACACCTAACTTTACTCAGAGGTTAAAAAATCTGCCATTAAAAGAACAGTGAGTTTTAGAGCATAAACCTTATTAAATATAATGGGTGTTTTTTTATTAAACTTTTTGTTTTTAAACAGTTTTGGTTGAAAATTATAAAAAAAATGATATAGGATACCTGGAAAGATTTATAATATAAAACAACATTTAAAAATTCTGAATTAACAAAAGTATGTATTTTCTGTTCCAAGCGTTGTCTCTGTTACCTAAACTAAATACTAGAAATAAAGTTTTAACTGGCAGTTACTACTATGCTCTCTCAAATATTCTAAAAAATGCTGCAATGCTAGATGAAATCTTTAATTAGTCATCAAATTTGTAAAATGTTAGAGATAGTATGTAGGTATATAGGGAAAATAAAAAATATAATTATAATGAAGAGTAAGAACTTTTAAATTTTAATATAACTAGAACAAAATATTCAGCAATTAAAAATTTTGACAGGAATTAAAAATTATGCTCGAGTATAAATGTTGTGCTTGTTTTTAAGTGGTTTCGATTTACTTTAGGTTTGTTCCAACAATGCTCAGAAATGAGTTACTGACATCAGGATTCTGCACAGTAGTTTATCGATACTGCAAAATTGTGTACTACCCAGTGGTTTGTTTCTGATCATTGTTGGAACAGACCTTTTATTCAATACATAATTGAACAAGTTAAATGTGTATTTGGAATTTTTTTAATTTTACAAATCTCAAGCTTGAATATGGATTTTCAAATTATGCACTTTTTGTAGTTTTTAATAATGCTTATTTTTTTTTTAGTTTCTTGTTCATTTAATAAAGATGCTTTTTTGTATATGGGGTGATAATTTTTAAGCAGAGGCGTGCAGCACCCACAAGATCACTGCCAGAATTAAAGCAAATGGGTAATCTAGAAATATGGAGTAGGTTCCCTGCACGTAAGATTTTCAAGAACTTGTAAATACAATGTTTTAATGAATTATTGCCGTTATCAAAGTTAAAGGTGATGAAACACTCATGAAAATTTGTAAATATTTAACCCTTTCAGTGTATTTGTCTCTATCTGTTAATTTTGGTAGAAATTTTTTCTTTTTGGTTTATTTACTTTATTTGCATTACTTTTAAGGATTAATATTATAAAAAATTATTTTCATAGTAAATTTTTGTTTTTGTTATGTCCCTGAACAGGGACGTTATGTCTTGGAGTAATAAAAAATACTATGAAAAAATTTTAATTTACTTAAAATAAACAAAGAAAACATACAATCTACTACAATGGTATTTTTTTTAATGAAAGTGGAAGTGAAAGGGTTAAAAAAATAAAAGTAATTTATCAGATTTATGTATGATTTGTTCTTGTAGTGACAGTCACTATAAATTTGAGAAGTGTGCTAATTGAAACGGGACAGGGCTCATATAGTTTTATTTAAAAAGTAAACCTTGTCATTAATTAAATATAAATGATTATTATATTACCTTATTGAAATATATAATGTAAAACAAATTGTTGTAATGTTTTTTCTGAAATCGGAAGTGTTGGCAGGTTTGTTACTGTCTGCTGCTAACTGTGATGTGTACAAGCGAACATAATAAACCTACTTATTGAGTACATTAATATGAAAAACTCATAATAAATCTGGAAACTATACATTTGAAATTTTCCTACTTATTTTTTCATTACTGCTATTATCTAATAGAACAATTCCTATGCTTTTATTTAATATTTAATTTTCCACAAATAAATATAAAAAAATAATTAGTAAAATTATAAAATGAGTTCCAATTAAATAATGAACTATATTATTAATTTAAATTGTTAATATAAGAAATGAATAAATTAAGTAAGTAAAAGTGTAATAATGGGAAATGTGTAAATTGTATTTATTTCTAATTTTAAATAATTTTGTGTGTATTGTTAATTTTCTTTCTAATGTAAAATTAATAATTTTAACAAAAATTTAATGAGATGTTTTATTTGTGTTAGAATTCGAATACAATAAGAACACTGCTGTCATAATGATTACTTCGAATTTCAAATACATAGTATCTATAACTTTTCAATAAATAAATATTAAGTTGTTAGATATAAAATAGTATATTACATTACGAGTGTGGAAAGTGACATTTTTCACACGAGTGGGAAATATTGTCGCACGAGGCGTAAGCCGAGTGCGACTATCACACGAGTGTGGAAAATCACTTTTCACACAAGTGATGTACAATATTTTTCCTACGACCACAAAATAATTTCATCAAAAAATGTAAAACCAGATTATTATAATAATTAAAATGTATTTAAAAAAATAATCAACAATAATCGTATTTATTAAATTTTCATAATTTCTAAACAAATAAAAAAAAATAAAAAAATAAAAAAAAAATTCTGGCACAGCCAGGATTCGATCGCGGTCGTTGGACGGTCTCAAATTGCAAAGTTGATGCTCTAACCAACTGAGCTAACAGGCCTTACGGTAATTGATTGATCTAATCGCTTATGTGTTTAACCAGAATAAAAAGCAAATATATCTTAGTTATTTTAAAATTATTTTAAAAATAATTGTTAAAGATAAATATCTAGGATCTAATTTACAATAATTTAACAATCATATCGATTTTAGTATTAATATGGACATTACATAGATCAAAATAGAAATTATGTGTTTGACATTTTCTGACAGCTACTGCGGAAAGTAGCATATTCTCACTTGGGTGGAAAGTAAATTCTTATTCATACGCGTGTGATATAGGGCACTTTCCATAGGTCTATATAGTGTGATATGTGTCACTTTCCTAAGTGGTCGTAGGAAATAGTATATTACATTACGAGTGTGGAAAATCACTTTTCACACAAGTGATGTACAATATTTTTCCTACGACCACAAAATAATTTCATCAAAAAATGTAAAACCAGATTATTATAATAATTAAAATGTATTTAAAAAAATAATCAACAATAATCGTATTTATTAAATTTTCATAATTTCTAAACAAATAAAAAAATAAAAAAAAAATAAAAAAAAAATTCTGGCACAGCCAGGATTCGATCGCGGTCGTTGGACGGTCTCAAATTGCAAAGTTGATGCTCTAACCAACTGAGCTAACAGGCCTTACGGTAATTGATTGATCTAATCGCTTATGTGTTTAACCAGAATAAAAAGCAAATATATCTTAGTTATTTTAAAATTATTTTAAAAATAATTGTTAAAGATAAATATCTAGGATCTAATTTACAATAATTTAACAATCATATCGATTTTAGCATTAATATGGACATTACATAGATCAAAATAGAAATTATGTGTTTGACATTTTCTGACAGCTACTGCGGAAAGTAGCATATTCTCACTTGGGTGGAAAGTAAATTCTTATTCATACGCGTGTGATATAGGGCACTTTCCATAGGTCTATATAGTGTGATATGTGTCACTTTCCTAAGTGGTCGTAGGAAAAAATATTTCCTATATTCCTAAAAGATTAACACTTCACCCCCAGTGGATAACTTCGGTAACTGTATCAGCAATACTTTCCACATTCTTGTCTCCTTTGAGAAGTAGTCCCATCATAAGTAATAAAAGCAGGAACAGCATTTTTTAGGTAGTTTTTTTTTTAATATTTGCGCTGCCCATTAAATAATGGTAATCTTATAATTGAAGGGTGTGGAAATGTACCATTCTTGTTCTGGCTAGTTCTGATTTGGAGTTGACCGTGAGTTGATAACTGTCAACGGTCAATTTGTCCAATCTGACATGAGAATTGAATTCAGCAACCTCAAAAACCCAAACCCTCAATGTGAAAAGAGGATATTTACTTTTATATTCCTCGTTGACCGTAAATTGACAGCTGTCAACGGTCAATTTGTCCAATCTGACATGAGAAATAAATTCAGCGACCTCAAAAACTCAAACTCTCAATGTGAAAAGAGGATATTTACTTTTAATTCCTCGTTGACAGTAAATTGACAGCTATTAACTGTCAATAGCGTTTCTCGAATTTATTGATAGATAAAGGTGATATACATTGGAAATTGGAAATAATAGTTATGACGTAGCGAAGATCTTCTAATTGTAATCTACAAATAATTATCAATGAATATTTAACATAAAAATTTCTAAAATTTAACACTTGCCTCGAAGGACAGATGAAAACTTTGTAATTTTGGTGCCATGTAAGGCCAACTAAAAGATATTTTTATTTCATTGTTTTTTTATTATTTTGTTTGTGTATTAAAATAAAATATATTTTTGTAGATTCTAATTTATTTATGATTCATATTCATAGAAGAAGCAAATAGTTTATATTATTCAACATCTTCTTGTATCAACCATTTTTATGCACGACATATGATTCGTACCCGTGATCCGAAAAAATGGATTCGAATCACTTGATTTCGCCTTTCGGGGGGGCCAGCTTCACAGAGTTAATGTTTTGTCTATTCCATTTAATGAAAACTACCAAATAGACTTTATATTTTAAAATATTTACGATATCTGCGATAAATGGTGAACCCTGTAGATTCATCATTTGCTAGAAGACACTGATACGAAATATAAAGATAAAATCCTTTCATTTAAGGCAAATTTTTTAAAATGTTCTGTATACAGATGGATAACAAATTAATTCAAGATTCTAGTAATGTGAACCACTTCTAAATACTATAATCAGGACATTAATTTACAAATAATATTCTTTAAAGCGTATTATTCTGAAAGAAAAAGCAAAAATTAAATTAATAAAAAAAAAGAATCTGCAACGGAAATGGTATTTTCGCAAAGTAAGACTATAAAAGAAGAAACAATGAGACTATTCATTTAAAATAAATGTCCTAAGTTTTAATATATTTCATTATAACTCGCTATTATTTTGACATTATCAGTTGTCAACTTGTCCCATGTAGAACTCCCGTAAAAATGCAGAACACAAACCTATAAATCACCCTCTATTTTATTTTACATTTGAATTACCCTCGCTTTTCTCATTTCAACAATAGGTACTAAATACAAACTGTAATCAGTTTTATATGAAAATCGTATTCATTTCAAAAGAAACAATTGGAAACCAATTTTTTTTAAGGTAAAAGTTTTTCGATGTTAGTCAATATTTATGCCGACGCTACTACTTTTTTCAATTAGCAACAAATCTATATAGGGTGAGTCAAAATTCAAATTAATTTTTTTGAATAAAATAAAAGTCTATACTATACATCTGTTGGATAACGCTATAGATGGAAGTGACGTAATATTAAAAGAAAATATTAACCATTATGACGAGAATGAAATAGGAACAGAAGAAATACAGATAACTGCAGAAGCTGCAAAAACTGCAAATTTTTATTAATTATTAAATCAAATAATTATTTAGTTACCAAGTGATTACAGATAAACAATACCAACAGTAACAACAGCTGATTACACTAGACACTCAAGGCGACTCAAATTATTCTGCCTTGAGCGAATCCTAGAGAGAAACAAACATCGAAGAAGTAAACCAATAACGACGAATCCTGGGGAGGTACCTTGGTTCATGTTAGTACCGGTTATCGATTTGATCTTATAATTGTAATATATTTATCTTCAAATGTCAACGAACGACCCAATATTGCCATCAGACGGACCTCACAATTCTGTCCATAAAGATATTTTTATGGAAGACATTTCGAAAGTTAAATTTCCAGTTTTTTGGGCGCATCAACCTGATCTATGGTTCATATACATAGAGTTAATAATTTTATTCATAAAATCCATTCTGAAAAAAGTAAATTTAATTTGGCAATCGCACATTTACCAGCTGAAATTTTCGTCAAGATTTATGATATAATCTTTGACCCTCAGAGAATAATGCATATCTTAAAAGAATCAGTTATCAATAGGCTTTATGAAGAAGAAAAATTAGACAAATGGGCAGATTTTTATAGAGAATTAATTAGATTAATTCTATAACTCATGAAAATTTATTATTAAAAATATGGAGAAGACAACTCCCAAAATTTACAGATATTTCTTTAACTATATTTGGGATATTTTCTACTAAAGATTTGTTAAATATAGCCGATAAAATTGAGGAATCGTCTCCTTCCTCTAATTTTTCTGGTAACAAAGACGAAATTTATACTATTGATAAAAATATGGAAATTCTAAATATTTCCAAATCAATAAATCAGAGTTAAATCAGAATTTTAAACTAATGAAATTAATGATTTAATGATTTAATTAAAAAAACTAGACAACAAGATTATGGTATTAGAAAATAAAGGACTCTCTCACATATCTTGTGAAGATTCTAATCAAAACTGCTACTGTAGATCTTCTTCAAGGTCTAGAAGCAGAAATAAACATTTTCGTAAATTTAATAAGGAAAATGAATCAAATGATTCATTATGTTATTATCATAAAAAGTATACGTAAGAACGTATATAAATGTACAGGACCTTCTTGTTTATTGTACGAAATATTTAAAAATTCTACTTAAAAAAAACGGGTAAAGATAACAATAAGTAGTATAGGTGGAAAATCTTCTAAAATATTATTTCTTTTTGATAAAATAAATTATTTAGAATTCTTGATAGACTCAGGAGCTGATATAAGGGTAGTTCCTAATAAATATTTTAAATGATTAATGGATAAAGAATTTTCTTAATATGTACTTATGGAAAAAATATTCTTAAAATTGATATAGGATTACGAAGAGTATTTCCTTTTCTTTTAACTATTGCAAATGTAACTAAACCAATCTTAGACGCAGATTTTTTAACACTTTTGGCCTTATTTTGGATTTTAAAATTTCTAAAATAATCGATAGTGAAACTTCATTAGATTCTATTGGAAACATTTTTAATTTTAAAACTAAAAACAATTCACCTAAACTATTTAATGTTGAGACTATGAGAATGTGTTTAAAGAATGGGAACAGCTAGGTATTATAGAAAAAATTAAAGAGGTTTCCAATATTTCTCATTTTTTACCACATCATACAGTAATTAAGGAGTCTAGTGTTACTACTAAGGTCAGACTAGTTTTTTACGCCTCTGCCAAAGTCAAAAATAAAGTTTCTTTAAATGATTGTTTAGAGAAAGGACAGAATTTAATTGAATTGATCCTTACAATTCTGTTACAGTTCAAACTAGCTTCCATGTTTAAAGAAATTTATTATTTTAATTATTGTATAAGTGTTTAAATGTAATTTGAATAATTTATTTTTGAATTACAGATGTCAAATAAATAAAAAAAAATCTGTTGCTTTTTGTGATGCAAGTGACGAAGCGACCCGTGTTACGCCACTGAATCAACAGTACAAAGTATAATCAGAGACGGTTGTAACTTACCGGAAGGTAAATGAATTCTTTCCACGTTGTTTAATCCGCTAAACGCATGCCGTTCGATCTTGTGTAAAGGATTGTTCGTTAAAACTAACAGCTTCAAATTGGAAGTGCCCGCAAATGCATACGATTCGATCCTCTTTATCTTGTTGTAGCTCAGATAGATGGCGCTGATATTTTGCAAGCCGGCGAACGCAAATTGGGAGACGGTAGTCAGAGAAGTCTGTTGGATGGATAATTCTCTCAGACGGGGTAATCCTCTGAAGGCGAAGGGCTTTATAATGGAAATGTTGTTGCCGTCCAACGAAAGTTTCCTTAAGTACCGAAGTCCCGCGAAAGAGTCGCTTTTGATGACGAGAAAGTGGTTGCGGGTGAGGGAGAGATGTTCCACCGAGGGAGGCAGCATTTTCTTGGGAATTTCTTGTAGTCCTCCCGAATTGCATATTACCTGAAATGTTAATAAGAGATTTTTATAATTCTTGTTTTTAAAATGTTTTTTTTTTCGTGTGCAATTTGCTGTTTGAGGCACTATTATTATCTTTAATGACTGACATAGGAATGCAATCAAGAATAATAGAAAAATGTTTTGAATTTTTATCCACATTTAAAATAATTTCTCTTAAATTATTGCCTCGATAATGATTCATTCTCTTATTCTGCATTTGTACCCTCTTATTATATTCAGCCAACAGGATGATCGAATTTGGCAATATTTTCCAAACATTTCTAAAAATTACCGTTATTTTTATGAAACAACTCGTATCTGAAGATTTGAGAACGAGCCTGAAACGGCGTTTGGCCCGAATTAGCACATCAAACTGCCGTCTAGGAATATCAACAGCAGTGTTGCCAACTACTTTTTTTGAGAGATCGTGTACAAGTAGAGTAGAAAAATCATACAATAGCTACATGTATGTTATGTTATGTTATGTTGAAAATGGGGTGTTAATACACTGCGACCTAAAAGATCTATTGTGCCCCCTTCTGTCGCCACTGCACTAAGGAAATGTCTCAATGCCTATAGCGACCCTTCCAATCCTATTTTCTCAAGGAAGTGTAGGATTTGAAGTGGCTTCAAGTTAGGTAAGTCTCCCTCTTCTATTTGATATCCTCCTAGATATAGTGCCCTCGGATTCTGGAGTGCTACACATTCAGTTAGGATGTGAATGGAGGTTTCGTCCTCCTCCTCACAGAATCTGCACTCACTATCCTCTACTACTCTCAGTTTACTTAGGTGTCCTTTTAGTCGGCAGTGCCCGGTAAGGATCCCTGTTACAATATGTAGCCTGTTCTTGCTCAGGCAGATGCAGGCTTCCGATCTTTTTTGGTTATATTCACACAGAAGTATCTTGGCCTGTCTCAGCCCCAAGAGATTGTTCCAATTATCGGTTCTTCTACTACCTAATTCTTTTTTAATCTCTTCTAATATTATGTTACTGCTGATACCGCAGAACGGCTCAGGTCCTACAAAGGGTGTTTGAGTCCCTTTCCTTGCAAGACTATCTGCAATCTCGTTACCCTGTACCCCGTTATGTCCCGGGACCCAAGTGAGAGTAACTCTATTTTTCTCGCCTAGCTGATTCAATTGTTCTAGGCATCTCCATACCATTTTTGAGCTGATTACGTAAGAACTCAGCGCTTTGATGGCTGCTTGACTATCGGACATAATGATAATCTCTTGTCTATGATAGTTTCTCTCGATGTTAAACTGGATACACTTCTCGATGGCGTGAATTTCCGCCTGGAAGATGCTTGGGTATTTTCCCAAGCTTTCGGAGTGCTTGGTTCTCGGCCCATACACTCCTATTCCAGTTCCTTCTATGGTTTTGGAACCGTCCGTGTACCACTGAATAGCACGTCTTTCGGTTGCAAGCGCGATGGATTCTTGGCTCCATTCTTTCTTACAGCCCAGCTCTGTGGTTTTGAAGTTTTTCACAAAACTGTACTTCTTTTGCATTTCATCCTGGGGCATGTCCCAGGTATCTTTAGTCCTGAAGCAAGTAGACTTTCGTCTGATTACTCCGTTCCTGATCATTCTATATCGTGTCCTTTTTGCCACATTCTCTATCATCAAATGTAGAGGGGTGAGGTTTAAGATCACCTCCATTGCGGCCGTAGGACAGGTTCTCATTGCACCAGTAATGCAAACACAGGCTAGTCTTTCTACTTTTGGGATATTAGCTCTCGTAGTAACTAAACTAGTTTTGTTACTCCAGGCTATAGCCCCGTAAGTGATGATTGGTCTCACTATTGCAGTATACATCCATCGCAGTATGTTTGGGTTACATCCCCATCGTTTACCCGCCATGTATCGTTTACCCGCCATGTTTCTGCATACCATTAGGGCTTTTGTGGCCTTATTTACTACTTCCTTCTCATGTGTGTTCCAGAGAAGTTTGTTGTCCAGGGTTAGGCCTAGATATTTGACTTCATTTTTCCATTCTATATCTATCCCGTCTAATTTAACGGTTTTGAGATTAAGTTTTCTTTTCTTTGAAAAGGCTACTAGTGTTGTTTTTGTAGGGTTTATACTAAGTCCCACTTCACGGCACCATCTTTTGGTATGTTCTAGTCCTCTTTGGACTATATCACACAGGATATTACTAAACTTGCCACTAGCCAATATGACTATGTCGTCGGCATAACCTTGACAGAGTATGCCGAGGTCAGTCAATCTGCATAGAAGTTCGTCTACGATTAAGCTCCACATTAGTGGGGATAGAACTCCTCCTTGTGATATCCTCTGGTTGTTCAGATGGAGATGGTGTCCCTGTCCTATCTGTATCTCTGCAGTTCTCGTAGATAACAGCTGAGCCATCCATCTGGATGTGATGTTATCTACTTCTCTGTATGCAAGTGCTCTTTTTACAGATTCGTGTGGCGTGTTGTCAAAGGCTCCTTCTATGTCTAGAAAGGCACACACGACCGTTTCTTTGTTTGTCAGTGCATCCTGGATTACATCAGTCAACTGTACCAGGGCAGTTTCTGTAAATCTTCCTGCTCGGTACGCGTGTTGGCTGTAATGGAGTAGCACCCTCTCCAGGACTTCTGTTCTGATATAGTTATCAACAGCCTTCTACATTGTTTTTAATACAAAGGATGTGAGGCTGATTGGACGGAAAGATTTAGGATGTGTGGTATCCTTTTTCCCTACTTTTGGAATAAAGGTGACTGTGGCCCTTCTTCATGCTTCTGGTATATATCCCAGCTCCAGACTGCTCCGGGATAGCCGGATTATGTGTGGTAGTAATTCCTCCTGTGCCTGCTGAAGCAGGGCAGGAAATATTCCATCCACACCTGGAGACTTAAACGGTTCAAAAGTGTTTACGGCCCACCTTAACCGATTTTTGCTGCATATGTGCTTGGCCACTACAGCGGCCTCTCTTGGGGGTCTGCTTACCTTAGTTGTGTCCCTTATTAGAAAAGGTGTGCTTACAGGAAAGTGAGTTTCGAGTAAGAGGCGAGCTCTTTCCTCCTCACTCTCCGTGAAGCTTCCATTTGGTTTCTTTAATGCCATAACTGTATCAACTCTCCCTTTTGCCAGAACCCTGTGCAGTCTCGCTGCCGCAGGTGTGGAGTTAATATCCTCGCAGAATTTTCTAAAGCTGATACGTTTAGCTTTCCTGATTTCTTTGTTGTAGGTAGTAAGCGCCTCGGTGTAGCTCTGCCAATCTCCGCTGTGCTTGGCCCTATTATAGAGCTTCCGCACTTCGGATCGTAAGTTTGACAGATGATGGTTCCACCAAGGAGCATCCCTACTAGTCCTATTTCTTTAAATGGGGCAGCTTGATTCATATGCCTCAAGTATTGCCCCATTTAGTTCTTCGAGACGCTTTCCAGAGCAAGTGGATGCCCCGGCCCCTTTTTTGTCTGGATACGTGCTAAATTTTGTTTTAGAATGGTGGTGTATTTGTCCCAGTCTGTTTTTCTAGGATTCCTCCTGAGGATCGTCTCAGGAATGTCGCTCTCTAACGTAAACACAATTATATTGTGATCAGATAGAGATGGTTCACTCGATACCCTCCAGTTTTTAACTAGATCTTTAATGCTCGGTGTACTTAATGTGATGTCTAATACCTCACTTCTTGCCCTTGTTACAAATGTTGGAGTATTCAAAATATTTTGCACAATAAGGATCTTATTAAAAATATATTCTAAAAGTTGCTCACCTCTTTGATTGGTGTCGTTGCTTCCCCATACGCGTTTGCGTCGCATCCAAGAAGTAATGGCAGATGTCTTCTCTGGCAGTACTATACTAGCCTCGATACTTCCGGGGGTGGTACATGCCCATCTCCAGCGAAGTAACTAGAAGCTATTACTATGTCTTGTCGCCTCATCCCTAATTCCAGGTATGCTCGAATTGGAACGAGATCACGCGTCATGAATTCTAAAAGACAAGAATATTTAATATTACTTCTTACCATTATGCATGTTCTGGGTACTTCATCACTAGTGTGATAAATTACCCTTGCATCCTTACATGCAAGTCCTCTTACCTGGTTTCCATAGACCCACGGTTCCTGGATTAATACGATCCCTAATTGATCTTTAGTGAATGTCCTAGATATCACAGCCGAGGCTCCCTTGGCGTGATGGACATTCACTTGAGCGATGTTGATGCCCGCCATTTTTCTCTCCTTTAATGGGGGGTGTTGTCCCCATCGGTGAGGGTGCGTTCCATATCCCCCTCTTCTGCTTCTTCATCAATTTCTACATCCTCAGATGAGTCTACGCAGAGATTTGAGAGGTTAAGGCTCTCTATGCTCTCCACATCAGTCTCATCTTTGGAAGTACTAGGAGTTGGTTCTGTTGTTTCTCCCAGTTCCTTTAATTCTTCTTTCTTTTGAAGGCCGTGTACGGGGATTTTCCGGAATCGATAGTACATCCATTATCCTTGATCCGTTGGTAGGATAGGTGATCTATTCCTAACCTAAGGATCTGGCCTTTGCCCTCGTCTTTTTGGCTGACGATTTTCCACAGTGTGGTCGGTAGCCCCACATTCTGCGCTTCTATTAACTGTAGAAGCTTCTCTACAGACTTCCCTTGACTTCTTGGGAGAAAGAGCGTGGCTGTATGTGCTTTCGGGATGTCGTCTCCCGCACATACCTCCAACTCCACTCCCGTCCAGTTGCTCAGGTGTGGGATTTTTGCCCTGAGCCATTCTGCTGACTGTGGGGTTTCACAGTCGATCAAGACCATTCCTGGCCGGAAGTGGATGCCTCCGAATTGGAACTTATGCTCCCATCCAGCGAACATCTCTTCTACTAGGGCTTCTTCCACCAAGGTTTGTTCGTTCGCACTGAGGATGGTCTCAGGGAACCCCTTAGGTAGGATCGCGACCCGCTCCGTCTTTACGACAGTTGCATAACTGCCTGAAGCGGAAGTATCGGCCACTTTCCTTTTCTTTTCTTTCCTTTGCGGTGGTGTAATGTTATTCCCGTCCCGCTTTCTTTTCAGATCCTTAGGATTGGTTTTACTTCCCTCTCCCTGGGATTTGTGCTCCACAGCTTTCTTTTTCGCTTCCTCCGGTGTCATGCCCTGAACGAGGTAGCGAAGATACCACCGAACCCCTGCCCCACTGAGTCTATGCCTCAGTGGGTCGTCCCTTCCTCCAGGTTGTCCCAGTGGAGGTAGGGAAGGTAGCTTCCGTTTGGATTCTTTCTTGAGGGGAGCTTCCCTCGTCGATGAGTGGTGAGAGGGGGATGGAGAAGATGGAGCGATGGTGCTCCTCTTCTCTTCTCCTTTCACCTCTTTCTTTTGTTCTCCCACTTCTCTCTTGTGAGGTTGTCTCACTTGAGAGGTTGAGGGAGGTTGATCGCTTCGGATGGCAGGCTCCGTTTGATCAGATTTAGTGGCGGTGTAGTCCCGCCGGGGTTTGCTTAGTTTCGTTTTCTTGTCCATGTAAATCCCACGAACAGCTAGGGAAGTAAAAGTATCTCCACTCGAATGTTCGAGAGCGGGCTAGCAAGAATACAGATATCGCCAATGGCGCTACATAACCTATATAGGGTGGGCCATTAGTGCGTGGGTGAAAGATTGCGGGTTTATTAAGGTACATTTTTAAAATTCATTTTTGGGGCATGGTGTAAGACCTCTAAGGCTACAACCTAAAAATATTTTCGATGAAATTCCAATTGTTCTATCTGTAAAAGATAAATATCAACATATTTTTATATCATTAGAAAGGTAATCGAATTCTGCATGTAATGAAATGAAAAAAATTTGGTAGTCCCATTTAAAATAATCAAGTTACCTTGGATTGAAATTTTGCAAAGTGGCGTAGCGATTACTTTAAACACGAAAAGAGTTTGACTTTGATCGTCTGGCTAATGTTAGTACATTTCATGCTTAGTAACACCGTAGAGTCACGGCCTTCTAAGTTTTATAATAACTGCGATATTTAATTTTAACTAGACATCTAATTTTTGTAAAAATAATGAATTGCTGCTTAACGACTCATTTTAAATACCATGTGTGATACATAAAGTCACACTAAAATTGACCGAGGAATTCAAATATGCAATAATATACAGAGGGTTCCTTTTAAAAAACATAACTTTGATATAAATCACCCTGTAGAACAATTAGAATTTCATCGAAAATATTTTTAGGTTGTAGCTTTAGAGGTTCTACACCATGCCCCAAAAATTAATTTTAAAAATATACCTTAATAAACCCGCAATCTTCCACCCACGCATTAATGGCCCACCCTGTATATGTGTTATTTTATTTAATCGATAGTGTAGGAATGACTACATGTAAATTTTCATTTTTTAGGCATATTTATACATTTTTTGACCCTATTTTAATTGTTTCTTCGTATCTTAGAGACGGTTTTAGGAATTTTCTGATATCATCTTTAGTTCTTTATTATAATTTTTTAAATTGTCACTACGTAGTATGCCCTGAACACTAAAAACTCCAATAAGAGTTTTTTCTACCATAAATTCCGAAAATTTTATCGGTTTTGTGTATCCACTAAAACGTCTTTTATTTGAAAAGACAACGAAAACAAACCGATTGATAAAATAAGGAGTCCGCAAAACAAGTGATTCTTATCTTAAATCGGCTTCTTGATAAGTGGTTTTACTACAAATAGAGACGTTTGAGAATGGACGATAATAAAAATGTATTGAAAATTAGAGAAAGCGAAAAATCTTTTGAATTACAAGACAACAATTCTTTATTGCAGCTACACTACAATACCTACTTGCAAAACTTTTATGAATACTTTTTTACATTTTAAACTTTATTAAAAAGTTAATTAAAAAAGAGGTTAATTAGCTACGTAGATATGAATTCATTTTAGAGATGACAGTCGAGCATTAGCATTATTTATGGTAATAATAAAGGTAATAAAAATTGTAACTAAATATTAAATTTTCACAGAACAAGCAAAATTGAGTTAGTGAAAGAGTAAAACTCAAAATCAATACCACATACTGAAAAAATACCGATGTTATTTCCGAATATTTCTTTGGTAAAAAATGTTCTGTAGCATATGTCGCTGGTATTAGAAGAATTGAGTTCTTTTGTAGAAATAACTAACGAGTCATAGGTAGTAGAAAAAGAAGTGTTTTTAATTTACTATTTTCACTGAAGTAAATACATAGTGGTTGATTCCATTTAGATATAATAATTTTCTTATCTTCACTAAACAGTTTTAAATATTTACAATTTTAGTTCATCACAATTTGATTAACCAATACAGGTGATTTTTTAGTTACCAACTTAAAAACATTTGTTTTTAGAATTTCTTATGCCATAATAATTGTAGAAGATATAACTTTCACCAGAAAATAAAATGCATTAAACGCTTGTAAAAATGTAGAAAGTAACGTGCCGTCGGCAGAAAGCACCTGAACGTTCGGATGGCAAAGACAACTGTCAGCGATGATGGCAAAAAGACAACTGATCGTTGGTGGCAATAATACAACTGAATATGTTCGCGTCGAGCTCACCCTAATATATACTGTTGGGCCGAAATGAGTGTCCGGGTCATAGTTGACGCACCCATTCGGTTTCAACCAATGAAAACATCATGACATAATGAAATACGTCATTTGTGGTTCGTTAACTATGCGCCGGACACTCATTTTGTTCCACTGCACAGCTATGCACCTGAAAACACAGGTGTTCGACGTTCGGTATTCTGAGAAAAATGCTATTTACAGTTTCATGACTTCACATTATATTAGGGTAAAAAGCAGTCGAACTATTTGAGAATTGTTTATTTATTTAGTAGATGTAAAATATTAATTTGTTGATGTTTTTACTGATGAAATTGTAGAATTTAACCAACATACAATTTATAAATAGGTATGTTGTGCCGTTTTTATTAGTCCCTCAACTGACTTCAAAAATAGGCACGTCGATTTTTTTGCTCTTCGTAATTGGGTATAAGGAAAGGGTGAACAACAAGTACTAGATCTCCGAAAACTACAATTCGAAAAAATGAGATACTGACTTCACACACCCATTAATAAATTTACTAAGAATAGTCAAATTAAACTCACCTGTGTCTGAGATAAGCAAATACACTCAGGTAAGCATGGAGGCACTAGTGTAAATGTAGCTTTTTGTAAACAGCCGAGTACCATAGCCCATCTTATAAGAAGAAAACTTCCTAAGTGCATCTGAAACAAATATTTTTATTAAAAAACAAAAGAATATATTTATAACATCATGATAATATAAAAAGAAGTTTCGAAGGAGTATTTATTCCTTCGTCCAATGTGTTTTGTCTAAAAAGATGTGTAATAAGATAAAAATGCACTTAATATGTATAATGATTTGAAATTAATATATTTGTAAAGTAGTTTAACCAAAAATCAAACTTGCCATTAATTTTCAAAGTTGTAAATTGTGGGAGCAGAACTGAAAGAAATGAAGGTTCTTTTTTTGTTGTTCAAACAAAACATTTCTGTAATCAGATTTATCGACGAAAAGCAGACAACGATGGATGATAATAAGTGTGTGTGTGTGTGTGTGTGTGTGTGCGTGCGTGCGTGTGTGCGTGCGTGTGTGTGTGTGTGTGCGTGTGTGTGTGTGTGTGTGTGTGTGTGTGTGTGTGTGTGTGTGTGTGTGTGTGTGTGTGCGTGTGTGTGTGTGTGCGTGCGTGTGTGTGTGTGTGTGTGTGTGTGTGTGTGTGTGTGTGTGTGTGTGTGTGTGTGTGTGAGTGTGTGCGCGTGGGTGCGCGTGCGTGTGTGTGCGTGTGTGTGCGGGTGTGTGCGCGTGTGTGTGCGTGTGTGTGTGTGCGTGTGCGTGTGCGTGTGCGTGTGCGTGTGCGTGTGCGTGTGCGTGTGCGTGTGCGTGTGCGTGTGCGTGTGCGTGTGCGTGTGCGTGTGCGTGTGCGTGTGCGTGTGCGTGTGCGTGTGCGTGTGCGTGTGCGTGTGCGTGTGCGTGTGCGTGTGCGTGTGCGTGTGCGTGTGCGTGTGCGTGTGCGTGTGCGTGTGCGTGTGCGTGTGCGTGTGCGTGTGCGTGTGCGTGTGCGTGTGCGTGTGCGTGTGCGTGTGCGTGTGCGTGTGCGTGTGCGTGTGCGTGTGCGTGTGCGTGTGCGTGTGCGTGTGCGTGTGCGTGTGTGTGTGTGTGTGTGTGTGTGTGTGTGTGTGTGTGTGTGTGTGTGTGTGTGTGTGTGTGTGTGTGTGTGTGTGTGTGTGTGTGTGTGTGTGTGTGTATAATGCATAACTCATGAACCGATACACAGAAAAACACCAAATTTTAAACTTAAGCTTTGTTTTAGCGTCCAATGAGCTGATTAGATTTTGAGCAGAGTCGGAACATCTGGGGGGGTACTTTATGGGTGGTAATTTTTATATTTTATGGAATATATCTGTTATTTACGTTTGGAAAAGAAAATTCTTCAAATAAAAGTTACTTCTAATATAATTATCTATAATTTTTGTTTTATGCAAAATTTTCCTAAAATGGTCCGTATTCGAGAAATTTCAGAAAATGTAAAAAAAAATTATTTTTTATAAAAATTGTTTAAATAAAAGTTGTTTGTAATATAATTCTGTATAATTTTTATTCTATACATAATTTCTAAAATGGACCGTATTCGAGATATTTCAGAAAATGTTTAAATTTCGAATTTTGAAGAAAACTCAAAAACGGATAAAGGAAAAAACATTAAATTGGAAACTTAAGTTTTATTTCGACCCGAGGTGAAATGATTAGATTTTGGACAGAGTCGGAACATTTGGGGGGGTACTTTATTGGTGGTCATTTTTATATTTGATGGAATATATTCGTTATTTACGTTTCAAATAAAAGTTACTTACAATATTATTATCTATAATTTTTGTTCTATGTCAAATTTTCCTGAAATGGCCCGTATTCGAGAAATTTGACAAAATGTGCAAAATTCTGATTTTTAAGAAAATTGTTAAACTAAAAGTTGTTTGCGATATCGATCTCTATAAATTTTATTTTTAAATGACTTTTCTAAAATAAACCGTAATGGAAAAATTGGAGGAAAAGTGCTAAATTTAAATTTTTCAGTATTTTCGTTTTCAATGAATATCTATAGAAAAATGTTTCGAGGTAGATGTATGTGGAAAATGTATATATTTGGATTATCCTCTAAACATTTTTAGAGATGCTGCAATAGGTTAACTAGATAGGAAAGTCATGTGTTGGACACATCAGATTTTTGGAGTGAAATTTCAAAACGCACAAGCCTATTTTGGATAGTAATTGAATTTTTTTATATCTACGAGTAACTGTTAGTTTCTATATGAATTTGTGTAACTACATCTTTGGAAAATAATTGTATTATTATTATTAGGAATATGTTGGTAACATCTGGTATTTAATAAATTTTGTAATACCTACAATTAGGATATTACATAACAATAAAATAGTCCATCAAATGCGAACAAATAAGAACACAGAAGCCAAACTGGCGGATTCAAATTATATCCGGAGATTAATAAGGATTAGTAACGTGGAATCGTGGATTGTTATGGACCATAGCGAATACGCATCTGAGTGAAGTGAGGAGTGATAAACAAATTGAATAAACTTTCATAATTAGTGAACTTCGTTAATGAAAAGCTTCGTCAGTTCTAAAGGAGTGTTACCCTTGAGAGTTATTTTGATGAGGTTTGTATTTTGGAAATATTTCATTACATTGTTAGAATAAAGCAAAATTTCACTGTATCTAGCACTTTTGTGTACAAAGCTTTCAAACAAATATTTAAATATGTTTACCGAATGAATAAAACTCAAAATGGCTTCGAATAATTTCGGTTCAAACCCGTTCAAACACTAATTTTTAAAAACCAATGTATTTTTACTTTCCTATCTGTATACAGATAAGGAGAATATAGGAATCATGATTTTTTTCGACCTCAAGTTTTCGACGATTTTTTACGTTTTAAAACTTAAAAGTTTTTTTCCTGCCTCCAGTGAACTGATTAGATTTTGGGCAAAGTCGAAACATCTGCGGGGGTACTTTATAGGCGATAATTTTTATATTTTATGGAATATATCTGTTATTTACGTTTGGAGAAAAAAATTTTTCAAATAAAAGTTACTTACAATATTATTATCTATAATTTTTGTTCTATACAAAATTTTCCTAAAATGGTCCGTATTCGAGAAATTTGACAAAATGTAAAAAAATTATTTTTTATAAAAATTGTTCAAATAAAAGTTGTTTGTAATATAATTCCCTATGATTTTTGTTGAATCTGCTTATCCATTGGGTACTGTACCAATAAAAGCAAACAAGTTGGATCATATAAGAAAGTGTGCAGCTTTTGTAGAAGAGAAATACAAAGAAATTTATAGTTCTTACTTCAATGGTCAACAACCACTGAAGAAGTGTGCAAACTAGTTATTTCTGTTTTTTAATGAAGAAAATCGTTTGTATTTTGAAAAAAGCCTATTATTTTTGCCTTAGACTCTGCAGTAACCGCACATGTCCATTTTTTCAAAAGATTATACAAATAATTTTTTTTTCTTAATAATCAAACTTAGTATTTCAATATGTTTTCACCTAACCTGTATATGTTTTAAAGTTATTACATCAAAGATAAATTCGCTTAAAAAAAATAGAATGTTTTTTTCATTTTCCCAAAATTTTAAATTTTGGACATGTGATGTTTCTGCATAAGCCGATTCAATTGTGAATTGTACTAGACTGGCAACATTGGTTCGGCAAACTTGTCTGTGAGCGGCGCGCCAATTAAGTGTGTTATTTTGCAGTTTGAAGGATCTGTTGGCGTGTTGTCTTCTCTTTTTAGCTATATACATTCGCCAAATCGTCTCACTCGTGTTAGGCTCACTCATCATAATGCGCCACAGACCCAGTATACTTAGGTATAGTGTGCCATAGAGACGCGATTAGCCAGAGGGCAATGATGTATCAAAAAAATATAGATTAACACGTATTAAAATAAAAATATTAAAATTAAATTTATATCTTTATGTTATTTATGAAACATTTAAAATTATGTGTTTTTATGAAATTTAACTGGATGTTCACTGCACGAATGAGCCAATGGAGAAACCGCTCCCGGTTAAACATTAGATGTTTTTTTATAATTTATTTCTTGAATATTAATTTTGAATTTGTTAAACATTGCAAATATTTATTGGGTAAGTTCCCATCAACTAGCTACCGATTGATAGACAAAATTTTTTATTGGTTAATTCTTTTTCTATTTTTAAGTTCAGTTTAACGCAATTTTTCTCACTGAAAGTCGCGGAGTTCACTTTGTAGGTTATACACTTAGTGAAAAGAGAATATCCTCGTATAAAAGTTAGAAAAACTTAAAATACCAAAATCATTTCTCACCATTAAACTTTATTTCATATCAGTACATTTCACACTTTACAATTTAATATAAGTAATTGTAAATATTGCTATCGATGTGCCGATACTTCACCTTTACTTTAATAAATATTTTTTACGACCGTAAAAAAACAGAAAGAATTTCCTTTTAGTAAAAATCCGTAGTACGTGAAACCGCCAAATCTTTCGGCACTTCTTCAACTATTGTTTCCGGTACATTACGCGTGTTTCCGAGCCATATTCTTGTTCGAAACTCTTATCGCCGACCGGCTACGATTATCCCTATAGTCGTTCTATTTGATCTTATTTTATCCAGAGGCTTCGTTGATGTATCTAACACGTTTCTCGCTTGACAAGCTACTTTATTTCGATGTTCGTATTCCTTGTTATTATTGCTTAACTGCCATACTGCCAATCTTAGATTTCCTCCCGGATGATGATGATGATGGGCCCAATAAAATATTAGGTATTTGGAAAATATTCGATTCAATCACTGAGAAATTGTTATCCGTTTCATATGAATAGTTTTGTTGGTCAAGATAGCAATAATTTAGGTTTATTTTGTGGTTTAAACTAATATTAATGCTCATTAAGTGCCAATAAGACACTTGTTTAGAGACTAATTACAAAAAAGGAGAAAATATATAAAACTAATGTTTAACATCAATAATATATCCTTATAGATAACACAATCAAAATATCTGCATTAAATTTAATAAAAATATATTGAAAAGTTGATACAAAATGTAAAAAATCAATCATTTGAAACACTTATCCATTTTTGAGAAATAAAAAAAAAGAGGTAAACACAATAGAACTTTATTAAGTCAATAAAAGGAAAAATAACAGAAGGCGAGAACATTAATGTTGTGATTATAGGTAAGAATATCGATCG